GCGCACCGCGCTCTCATCGCATACGGTGACCGGGGGTCACCGTAGCGGCATCCGGCGGGTTGTTGTTACCGGGAACGATGCACTTATGGGGGTGCATCGTTACAAAATAATACTAAAATAAGCATATCGGTAAAAGATTTTGTAATTATTTTAAATTACAACACTTCTATTTTCAAAATAACGTCGCAAAAACTAATATTATTTAGTTAAAATGAAGTAATTGAGGAAAATATCTGAATATACTTCTGATCAAATTACTGAACAACCTAAAAGCCATGTTTCTAAAGCTGAACATGGTTGTACCTATTTCTCGAACGTAATGTATACATTCTTTTAAAATCAATGTAAACTTAATGAAAATGTTAAAAAATATATAAAATTATTTTACAAATGCAATAAGATATTAATATATTAATATAATAATATTAATATAATTAATATTCTGTGTGTATATTTTCAATTTTTTGGCATTTTGAAATTAATTCTACAAAAAGCACAATAACTTTTACATGCTTACTGAAACTATTTACAAAGAAAATACTACGTACAGGTACAGGTTAGAAACGCAATTTTCTATGAATATGAACAAATAATAAGTTGCTCATAAAGATACATTCGTCTTAATAAATAAATTTATGATAACTATGTCAAATAACAATTTAATAAATGTAAGTTAATGATAATACTTACGATTGTCCAGTTCAGTAACACTCTATCATGTCACGTCATGTGTACCGTCTCTGTTTATAGCTATTTTATCTCTATTTCTTCCCTATTTTCTATCTTCTTTCTACTTTCCTTTCCTTTCTTACGTATTATTGTACTCTTCTATTTTTATATTATTTTAGCCTTTTACATTTTATATTTTTTCATTTATTATATATATTTATTTATTCTATCTGTTTGTGGGGCCCTGACTGTTCGAGTGTGTATGCCGCGTATCGCGAATATTGTATTTTACCCAAGTGTGAATGTGCGCGATATACACTATTTAATTTTAATATTTAATATTTAATATTTATTATATTATATTGCTGCGCGCGCTCCTCCGGGATTTTTATATTTTTGACGACACTTCTGTGATATCCCGAGGGAGCGATTTACTGTGATAACGTATCCCTTCAGCTTGCGCGCTGGGGGGATGAAACATATGTATTATTTACTTTTTTTGTAAAGACTGGGAGGCTTGCCCCTCAGTCTCTTAGTTTTAATTGCCCATGCGGGAGGGGCCTTTGACTCCCGCAATAAATATATTTTTATTGGCGCGCGGCCTAGCCGCTTATTGTTGTATAACCCCAGAGAGGAAATGTCTCTCTGGGGAAATTCTTTGATTAATAAAAGCGAGCTAATTAAGTTATAATTACAACCAGGGTTGGGTAAGTTAATTTTTTCTTTTAACTAAGTTAAGTTAAAGTTAACAACCTTGAAAATTTAACTTAGTTAAGATACAAGTTAATGTATAATAAAATTAATTGAATTA